CCCTCCCTCCCTCCCTCCCTCCCTCCCTCCCTCCCTCCCTCCTTCTCTGTCCTCATGGCTGCTTGGGCCCTAACTCTCTTCTGCTTCCCTTCTCCCAAATAAACTCTTTCATATAAGATCAGTTGTGTGCATGGCATCATTTTAATATAAATACTAATGGTATCACCTTTGGAAAGCTGCAGAGAGTGTTTGGATTCAGTCTCAGCCTCCTTGAGTGATAGAGTAATACTGAAACCACGAGCCATCCAACCTCCATCTCTCCAGTAGTCTGATGAAGTCCTTCCTTGCTACAGTCTGGCCCTAGAACATTCTCCCAAAAACTGTGTATCAAAGGTTTGGTCTTGGTCTGTTTTAGAGGCTGGGCTTAAGTGAGAGGCTATAGTCATAGAGGATGTGTCCTCAAAGGGGCTTATGGGATCTGGGCTCTTCCTGTCTCTCTTTGCTTCCCAGCAGCCATGAAGTACTATTATGCGCTTTTTGCTGCTGAATCAATAGGCTGAGAAACGGATTCAGCTACTTTGGGAATAGGCCTGGCAGGATTCACTAGAAGTGAAACCTGGATACCTGGCAAGGCAGCATCTTCCTGGGAATGCACGCATACAGGTGTCAGAAGACATGCAAGTCTTTATTTGTAATAGGTAAAAACTGAAAGGACTCAACGGTCCCTCCCAGAGATCTCCACCATCTCTGAGGACAGAACACACGACTTTGAGATGAAAGACAGAGGAATCTGGTAAAATAGCAGGAGGTATTTTCTGACAGTAAGGCTTTCCGAGAAAGTCTAAATGAGAACTTTTATGAGGTTGGAAAAAAAAAAATCCATGTGCTTATTGCTGAAGGCAAGAACAGAGAGAATTTCCTGTGTTCTTGCCAAAGATTCTCTGACTCAGTGGAAATGGGAAACCCATCTGACACAGCTTGGCAGTGTTCTGGTGGCCAGACGGCTTTAGCAGTCAAGTAGCAAGGAGAGAAGACAGAGCACAGCCCACTCACCTAGAGAGCTTAGCACCTGTGTTTTCCTTACTCATTCTTTGCCTGCAGACTCCTCATTTTTCTTCAGCTTTGCTTAGCAATGTTGGTCCAGCGGGTGGGGCAGGTCAGTACAGGGGGAGGAGACAGGGTGATGGGTAACCACAATGGCCTCACACACAAAGCATCTGTGATGTTGGGAGCACAGAGTGGTCAAAGCATCTCCCTGGCTTTATCTACTGTCATTGTATCCCAGCGGTCGTTCATGTGCAGTGAATCCCAGCTTGCGTCCCTCCCTCTCTTCTCCCCCCCCCCCCCCACAGAGGACATGATGCTGATGTGAATGAGTTGGCTCTCTGAGCTCTGCTGGCTGCCCAGCCTTTCCTTGCAGATGGAGGTGACTCTATAGAGTAGTTGTGAGGTTAGAAATCTGCCCGGGTGACAGAGCTTCTAGGACCCAGGCTACACCGAATGGAGACTACTCTGGGTTAGCAAAAGTCGCCAAACTCATCACACTGTTTTTACATTGCAACAAGTCCACCCGAAAACCATGGAATTGAGTTTCAAAGAGAAAACTGCAAAGGCTTTGAGTAGGCTATGATTTTGTGTTGGGCTGCATTCAGGTTAGCTGCAGCTGCAGGGGATTGGACAGAAAGATGGGAGGATTTTTTTCCAAAAGAGGATGGAAGCCCAGGTACCTAATTGTGTAGGTCACTGTCAGGACAATAGCTGTGAGGACCAATGGTTGTTGGGGACAGGGAAAAGTCAGTTTAATTCGCAGAAAGTCAGAGGGGGACTTGGGAGAATGGTCACTAGGGACAGCTCTGGGTGTGGGGGCGGCAGGCTGAGTGAGGAGTCAATCAGCCACCCAGGTTTGAGTTCTTGCTTTGATTCTTACTCTGCTGAGAGACCTTGGCTAAGTTTTACAACCGTTTGGGTCGCTGGGTCCTCACCTCTGAGGTGAATAAGCAATTATACTTCACCCTAAGAGTATAAGGAAGGTTACCTGTGAGAAAAACATGAGGTGATCAGACAGTGCTGTCTCAAGGAGCATGCTGAAAATGCTTCCCATGGTAGCTTTTGGTTGTACCGTAGCTATCAAATATTTGAAACTGGCTGGCAAGGCTCAGGAACTCCGACTGTATTTTACCTTTGTTTTAGTAAATTTAATGTTTAACGTTACATGTGGCTGCTGGCTGCCTTCTCGATTACCGCAGGATTAGAGGCATGCCACAGAAGGAGGAAGTACTTGGAGGAGGCTAGCATTGTTAGAAGGAGGGGTGGAAGAGTGAGCCAGGCAGCCTGGCACAGCTAGACTTCCTCCCAAATGTCACTTCTTGGGAGGACCAAAAGATGAAGCAACCTGAGTGGATGAACCCAGCTGTTCAGCTAGTGACTGGGACCACATGGTTTGCTGAAAGCAGAGGTCCAAGAAAGACCCCAGAACACTTCTGAGTTAGGTTCTAAAGACAGGACAAATTGGAGATGGGTATTAAATGCTTAAAATGAAGGGTATGAGTGGAAAGATGAAGAATGAGGTAAGATTGGAACTAAAGTCTGGGCCTGGACTGCAAGGGCAGGAATCACCAGGGGGCATCTGGCCAACTCCCGCCATTCCCTCCCCCTGTCTCCTTCCTTCCCTCCAGGGACGGCTAGGTAGAATCTGGAAGGGCCAATGGGAAGCTGTGTTTGAGTCAGGTCTGCAGCGACTCCTTGTGGCTGCATGGGCAACAGTTGCTTTAAGAAAGATTTTTTTTTAATACCCAAATGTCATTTCTCTCTCCACCTACTCACTTACTTCCCCACCCTTCCTTCCACCTGTGTTTTCAAAAATCCTGACAGCCAACAAGCTTTCTCAAAGATCTTCTCTATTTCAAGTCCATCTCTGTCTCCTTGAGCTCAGAAAAAGACAGGCATACATTAGAATACGGTTTTTCTGCTTCTTAAGGCATTTCCCTCACGGTTCTGTTTATCACGTGATATCGAATTTGTTTTATCCTCCTCTGCTATTTCACATTCAGGCTCTTCAAATGTGGACTCCCATTCATCTTTGTTTCTCTAGGTCCTAGCACAGCATGTGAGCCTCAAGGTACGTCAAAGTATGTAGTACCTATGAGTCCTGAAGACAGAAAAATACATATTAAAAAGTCTTGGTTAATCCTGCTCAGATGTATCCCACAGACTCAGTCTCCACGAGGATTTCCTAGTAAGGAGAGCAGGGGCTGTCTCTGGTATGAACTCAGGGGCTGGCAATCTGATCACCTCACCCCCTGTGGGGAGGTGCAGGCTTGCCAGACCACAGAGGAAGACAATGCAGCCAGTCCTGATGAGACCTGGTAGGCTAGGGTCAGATAGAAGGGGAGGAGGACCTACCCTATCAGTGGACTAGGGGAGGGGCATGGGGGAGAAGAGGGAGGGAGGGTAGGATTGGGAGGAGACAGCTGGGATACAAAGTGAATAAATGGTAACAAATAATAACAATTAAAGAAAAGAATTAAAAGAAAGTCTTGTTTAAGCTGCTTGGTGGGTAGAGTGCCTGAGACAGTGGCCTAACCTTATTGGAGGTCAGATTTAAAATTTATGTCATGGTAATAATGACACCCAATTTTCAGTACTGTGCAGAGAACCACACTTCACATACAGAGTATCTTGTGTTTTCACCGTCCCCTCCTGGCCCACCTCCTGCAACTGGATTCTTGTATGCCTTCTTAGGAGGTTTAGTCTGCTATGGATATTCTACCACCTACTTCCCGTGAATTCGGTTATGTCATACCAACTTGGTCTTTTCACTAGATGCTTCT